CCCAAGTTAGGAGAAGAGTGTGTAATATCTCTTAACACCAACTTGGTTTATCCAACCCTGATTTTCTTCCATTTCATACCCTCCCATTTCTCCTCTTAATCTTACTCTTTTCTTCATATAAAACACCAAAAGAACTCCTTCACCATCCCCATATTAATCCCAGCCATTCCCCACACAAACACCACTTTTGTCTGCCCTGATTTCAGATCCTGATTGTCTTGATAATCGATTATCACACATCAATAATCGATTATCTAACCCTTCAGAACACTCCTGGAATAATCAGCGAAGCACAATATTCGATTATCAACTTTGATAATCGATTGTTTGGTCCCTCTGAATTCTCGTCGTCTAGGCCATACAACCTAATAATCGATTATCACACTTGTGTCAATCGACTATCCGGCATCCCAGAAGTTCCTTCGTTTTGCAGCATCACTACATAATCGATTGTCGAATCCCATAATCGATTATTGCGTGTCCCAGAACTCTCAATCTAAGGCTGCATCACTCCTTAATTCCTCCTCAAAATAGTAACTCGTTAATCCCCCGGGTCTCGGGTATAACAGATTACATAATCCATTTTTATCCCCACTATGTCATCCAAAGAGCCTCTTTACCTCCCTTACTAGTTACAATCATTGTCCTCGATCAGATTGGAGATTCCGACTTTGCCTACGTGTGGCTCAACACAAGTTAAATCAAATCTAACAGCTCCAGCACCCTCTTCATCTCATTCTGCTCCTCAGCCTCCTCCCATTGCACCTTGCAAAGGTATACACTCCTCTCAAACTCTCTTATTCAAAATTGTTTGATTTACCATCATTTATCTTCACTTATTATACTTATGTGTCTTCTTTATCCATTCTTATTATTCCTAAGACTGTCCAAAAGGCATATTGCATTATTCCCATCCAAACTGGCAATACACTATTATTCAAAAAATGAAAGTCCTGGATTTTAATCACTTAAACCCTAGTTATATCACCCTAAGAACATTTCCTTGTCAGATATCAATGGGTCTTTAATGTTAAGGTTGGACCTGATGGAAATGTTGATAGTTTCAGAGTCGGTCTCTAGGGCAAAGGGTATATTCAGGTTTATGGGATTGGTTATTGTTATACACTTTCTGTATGTAACTGAAAGTATGCACATGACATCTTGGAAGAAACTTGGTTTCTAAATTGCAAACCAGAATACACTCCTATGAATCAAAATGTTAAACATTTACTACACCATGGGGAACCATATTCCGATCCAGGAAAGTGAACTTTTTTATGCATAAGCTTCTTTGTGGGATGGAGGGAGTTTAGGAATACCGAGGTCACAGACCTTGTCAAGAAACCAATTCAACCAAAAGCTTAAGCTTATGGTTGTGGACTTGTGGCCCAGGAATGGTTTTTATATACTCTAACACGCTAACTCACATGCAGGCGTGACTTCTTTGAGCCTTGCCCGTGAAACCTTAATTTTTTTAAACTGGTGGCGGTGAGTTTCAAACTCGTGACTTTTTGATCATCAAGGCTCCGATACCATGCCAAGGAACCAATTCAACCAAAACCTTAAGCTTATGGTTGTGGCCCAGGAATGGTTTTTATACACTCTAATACACCTACTGACCTGCACTATTGTTTACTCTGGTGTAGTCTGGACAGGATCTCATAGATCAATGTGAACAGCTTTCCGGTTCAGTATTTCTTTTGGAGGTAATCTTATTTCTGAAAAAAGATGCAAGGTGGTCTTGCAAAATCAAGTCTTGATGCATAGTATAGGGCCATGGCTCAGCCTCTCACCACATGTGAACACATTGGGCTAAAGTGATCACTCCAAAACTAAATATATTAGAGTATCTGTGGAATTAATTCGTGAGAATCAAGACCCTCTGCATATTGCCCCCAATATTTTCATGAAAGAATCAAACATATTGAAAATGAATTTTTCCTTTATAGTTTATAATTTATATGGGAATAAATTTTATCCAATGAAAACAGCATGTCATTTGTCAAAACCACTTATCAACTCGCAAATATCTTCACCAATTCTTTCTGAATATCTCAAAGAAGCTACATTTGTAACAAGCTTGGTGCTTATGGCGTGTACGCACCAACTTGACGGGGTGATAACTAATTCATCAGTCATGATTGTGTGCATGTATTTAGCTATAAAGGTTGACTTGTAGACTAGCTATCTACTTTAGTTTTCTTTTTCTCTCTGTATGAACCAAACTCTCCAAGACAAGGAATTGGTATTCTTGACTTCATTCATTTAGTTCCCTATTTAAAGGGTATTGGAGGAATGCAATGAGACACAAGACATAATTCTAATCTGATATTCAAGTACATCAACGATTTAAAAATTTCTTAGATAGGGTAATCAGAATACAGACACACACATACAGGTCTCAATATGCTAAATTGTAAGCTAAGCTTAATCATAGATTACTAAAATGGTATTTCAATAGGCATCAAGAATGAAATATGTATGATTTATGAACTCTGATAACCACTAGCAAAAGTCAAGCTCCTCTGGCAACCGGCAGAAAAACAGTGGTATAAGCATTCACCAATGAATGCTATCTTGCAGTGCCTTGCACCATTGTAGATTGATTTTTTTTAGGAGGCGACCAGGACATAAAATTCTTGAACATTAAGATATATAGATCACTGTAAGTCAAATTCCCAAACTTCTTGAGGTAAGAGTGTTGTGTATGTACTTCATAAAAATCAAAGATCAGTGTTTCAAGAACTAATCTAAATGTCACATGGGCATACCTTCTCAATGTCATGATGCTCAAAAAAGAGTCTGAGTGATTGTTCCATTGTTTTACACACGGCTCCACATGAATCTCTCCTAACAGTTTCAATACCTTTGGCATCAAATATTGGCTTGCTCTGATCAGGACTCTCATAACTATATCCAACATATCGTTTCTTGGTAATGAGAAAACATGGATGGTACACCTTTTCCATTTTTAGAGTGACTGGATGAGGGTTTCTTGCAGATACTTCAGTTGCAATCTCGTTACCAATTCGAAAGGCATCATTAAGAGAACACCCTTTGAGTAGTACAAACATACTGGATGAACAAATGAAACAAATAAGTATAATAAACTAGAATCATATTTTGTATGTAATGAAACAAAATAAAATTCTTTTCATTTCATTTCGGGCAAAGAAAACACAATCAAGACCTGGTAGATTTAAAACAAAATGAATAACCTCGTGCTAAAGTTAATCTTTTAGCATAATAATATGATGAGAACATGTTTTATGCATACAAAATAAGCTGCAAAAACACATTATCTTCCATCAAGATTAATTTTTCAAGATGTCGCACCTGTCAGTATCACCATAAATAACTTTAGCCTTCCATTTATCATTTGTGTTTACAAATNACGCCCACATTGAACTATACTGTCAGCCAGCTCAGCACAAGGCATTCGTCCACTAAATCCAGCAGCTGTATAGCCATATGTCACATTTGAAATAAGTTTCAATGCAAGTTGTCTTGCATTGAATATCCTGTTAAGTACCTTCTGGGAAACATCTAACTTCTTCATTGCTTGTTTGACCATAATCCTAGTTTCCAAGAGTTCTTCCAACATGCGTGGAAGGACTCCTTTACGAACATCAGAAGGAACAAACATAACTCCATTTGGTGTTAGAAGTATTTTATCTTTTATCTTCTGCAAAATATTTCTACCAGGTGAATAAGAACTAACGCCAAGGATATTGGTCTTTGAAGAAGTGATTTTTCCAAGACATGTACTGTAGCATAAATTATATGCAATTATCATCGATGGATAAAGTGATTGAAAATCAAGGACAACAACAGGATCAGCATAAAATCCAGATTGTGGTTCCATTACAAGAGGCAGACATTCCATTGCAGGCTGAAAGGCAACTTGTTGGTTTCCCGGAGAGATGGCAATATAGTTTTGGGAATGAGCCAACCTTAGCAAAATAGATTCCACCCGGTACTGTGACCCTCGTGAGAGAACTGAAAAAAAATCAATGCCAAAGATTCGTGCAAGCTCTGATGTCCGGTTGATCATATCTAGTTGGGTTATAATCTGAATGTTCAACTTTGCTCTCTCCAAAATATACTCTATGCATCTAAATCGTGCACGCCCAGGACCACTTAAAAACCAATTTGTCAACACCTTGCCTGGAATGGAAGGAATTTTACGTCTCAACACTGCTTCAGCCACATTTTCGATGGTATACATATTAAGCTTAACTTCACCACGCATCAAACGCCAAATGTTAAGAACAATTCTACCACCAACATGTATACCACTGGCATGTGTTCTGCCCCATTCATCATCTATTATCATCATGACCTCACGAAGCACAGAATCCCTAATGATAGGTTCTGAGAAAAGATTGCTAAGTTTTTCTTCGTCATAGTCTTTTGAAGGTGCATGGGTCTCTGACAGTGTACGCGATATTTTTCTTAGCAAATCAATGCCAATGTGTGATGCCCTTTCTGCAAGAAACCCAAGGGAACCACCTTGAATATCCCAACCCATCACGACATCTGGATCAATTGAAGAAAAAATCTTCACAAATTTGCTAAATAAATGCTTCTCTTCACAGAAATCCCAAACCTTGCATCCTGATAATGCATCAAGATTTCTTGGAACAGACAAGCCATTACAATGCAGGAGTACATAAGCATCAGCTACAGGGTCATCATCTTCACAAACAACCAGAACTACAATACTGATGGCATCAAATCGAGGGTCAGGTCTTAAATCACCCCTAGATTCTGCTTGGACTTCTATGCTCAATAATGTTAGCTGCTGCCCAAAACCAATACTTGCTGAATCCCGAAATCCAATTTGACTCAGAGGAGTAAGTTTTGATTTTCTATCAGGGCCTGATATCTGAGATAAATCCCCTGCCAAATCACTTGAGTGTTTACCTTTTAAAGGATCCCCCTTGCTCTGCTGCATTCTTTTGCTCTCACCATGAGAAACTTGAGTCTCAACATTATGACTTCCATTATTTTGCCGATTTACCAGATCCATATTAGGCTTAAGACCTGACACAGATGCAGGTGCTGTCAGACGATGACTATTACTCAAAGCCTGAGAATTCTGCATGGGCATTACCTGCCAAGAGGATCCCTTAATTGATGGGGAGGATGTTAAGCATACATCGTTATTCTCATTGGAAACGTCTGCAGAATCAAGTGTCATCCATTTCTCGACACATTTGGCTAGTGGTGGTGTGAAGACAGGAGTCAACATGAACAAATAGGAACCATCACTTTGACAGTGGAAAGGGACTCCTAGTAGACCTTGTCCACAATGGTTATAGTCCAAAGCTCTAGAAGTGGTGTGATATTCTACAGAACTCCTACCAAAAAAAGGGGGGAGCTCCTCTGAAACTATTTCCTGACCACATAAAGCATCATAGTTTTGCTTATCTTCATGGTGGAGCTGAGGGATACCAAGTGTTTCGCGAGTGCATGGACCGAGTTCATGTTTGCACTTCATCACAAGGGGTGACTCAGGATAAGTCAAATTCACAGTTTTGGTGGGAGCAGTTCTTGATTCAGTTACGAGTGTGGTAGATGGATGACTATGAGGGAACGAGTCGGTATTTTTCCCATCACACCGACTAGGTAAAGTTTCAGATAGAGAAAGAGTCACTCCACGTGCTGCTGGCATGGCCTCACAACTCTTTGTTGAAACCCAGTGCATTTTGTTCACAGTTACACCAGTCTTATCAGATCTTTGCATATAATCTATTTCTGTACAAGATGGAGCTCCATCCTTAAAAGGTAGACCTCCAATTGGAGTATAATGGCTGCTTGACTCATTTGCATCTCTTTGGAGCAATTTCTCTCCACCAGAAGATTCATTCTCACTTGCAAATTTTAATGATTGAGCACATGGAACCGACTCAGAAACAACAATATTAGTATTTGAGGATTTCGTATTGTGAAAACAGATATCTATATCTTCACAATCATTAGGCACGCATTGCTCCATCTGAACTGCACCCATAGAAGTCATATTGAAAGAATACTGCTCTGACGGATCAGTTTCCCCGTGCAAAAGCTTCTGCAAAGCTACATTTGCTTCCCTAACACAGTGAACATCACTTCCTTGTAAAGAATGACACAGTTCAGAATTTGATGAGTCTCTTGGAAAAGTATTGCAAATGCTGGAGTGCATAGGCAATTTACCATTGGCAGGGTTCCTAGCATTGCCATCATAAGGTTCAAACTGCACCCGGGATGTAGGACATGTGTTAGTCTCATCGCATCCTCGCGGCTGAGCACCAACTGAGACCCTGTTCATGGAGTAAGACAAGTGTGTTTTGTTTTGCTCTTCATATGACTTTTCAATACAAAACCATGAATCTTCTCTATCTTCCTTCACTGATGGGATCTTTTTCATCTCACTCGTGCTCAAAGGTGGTTCAGTACGGTAGTACCGTTTCTTCCTCATTAGATCCCGCATGGAGCATTTAACAACAGTCTCTCTGTTTGATCCCTTTACTATATTCGGAGATATGTTTATTCCACATCCTGTCGTGCAAGGCAAACCAGAATCATCTTTTATGTGGCATCTGCTGATTGTGCTAACTCCAGCAGTAGATGAAAGGTCATTCACTTTCTGAACAGATGAAACAGGCAAAGGACCCCACATTTTTCTTCTCTTTTTGTGATCACTGAACATACCAAAATTAGCATTGTGCAACAAATCAGTTTCTGAAGAGGTCCCAGGTTCACTGTATGTTCCAGATGATTTATTGGCACATGAAACAGCCCCAATACCATCAGAAGACCCATCCACTTGAGGTATCATTCTGCTTGGAGAAGTTTTGCATGGATAATTAGACTCAACCAAATAAGCCAATGTCCCATCTAAGCCTTCAACGTTAGCTCTATCCAGAACAGTGGCAAGAATGTCCACACACTCTTGTTGAGATTCATTCTCATAATCTGCATGAGCTTTCTCTAATACCTTATCTATGGTTGTTGCAGGCATTAAGGGACTCAAAATGGTCTCACGAGTAAGGTCATCATCTGAGTTTATATCTTCAGCAGCTTGAGAAGATGCAAGCCAATTTAAAACTCCCAAAGCATCATGATCTGATACCTGAAAGTGCTAAACAAATGAGAAATATAAATTAGAGGAAGTGCAAGGCAGTAATATTTTCCTTCAGAAATGAGGCAAAGCAGAATAACAAAAATGGCTCCACAAATCTCTGGTCTCTTGGAAACAGCCTCTCTACATTCAAGTAGGGGCAAGATCCGCAGTACACGCACCCTCCCCAGACCCTACTTTAGTGGGATTCTACTGGGTTATGTTGTGCTGCTCCACAAATCTCTATGCTATCTCTGTATGCATGCATCAATTAACTTCAAAATTACTCTTTGTAGTTATTGGTGTTAGATTTAATCGGGTTTGTTCACATATAACCGAATGGGTAATGAGTCGATGTTTGGGTCAGTTAGTATAGAGTCAATTAGTGTGGTGTCGTTTAGTGTGTTTTACATATTTAATTAATTTAAATAAAAAACAATAGGGCAGTTTCTAAAAGGCAGTTATGGGTAGTTTCTATTGTTAATAGGTGTGTTGGTTTGTAATAGTTGTGTTGGTTAGTAAAAGTCATGTTGGTCTGTTCTCTATATATATTTAGTGAACACAAATATTCCTGTACAGTTTTTACATCAATAAAAATTCTATTCTGCATACCAATCTGTTCTTCCTATCAGTTTTCTACATTTGGTATCAGAGCGGTGTGATCAGGGGGTGTACGATCTACCACAAAAGGGATCCGCCAGAACATTTCAATTTCCTCGACAACAGATCAGAAATTTTTGACCAGATTTCTTCCTCGCCTAGAAAAAGAACATCAAGTTGCTAGTTTTTTTTCTTTGGCAGAAGAATTACAACCAAAAGGCGCGGGAAAAACGAATAAGCGGGGTAGCTTTCGTTTAGCGGCTTGGAAGACGGAAAAGCAGGGGCTTGTCTTCTGGTTGATGGTCGGTCGATTGCAGGTGGCTTA